GCGCTGTGGCTCAAGTGGTAGAGCACTAGCCTTGAGCTGAAGAGCTGAGGGACAGTGCCCAGGCCCAGAGTTCAGGCCCCACGACTGGACCCCCCTCCAAAAAAAAACCCAAGTGTGTTTATACACATATGTATATATACATATATATGTAGCTGTCAATCAATAGTATTCATTCTTACATATGTATACCCAAACATACATAAGAATTTATATTTGCTAGATTATTCCCAAACCCCCAGGAATCTTAAATCAGATACAGCACTTGAGAGCCTGCATCTTTTTATTTTCTTACTGTAATACTGAAAATATTTTCTTCCTAATTGACACATCCATATTTCAAACTCTGTGGCCACAGTACTGAACATCAAGTGGTATTTGCTGCTTCTATCATGGTTCTTTTTATTGCCAGTCCTGGGGCTTAAACTCAGCATGGGTGCTGTCCCTGAGCTTTTTTTGCTCAAAGCTAGCACTCTACCACTTGAGCCAAAGCTCCACCTCTGGCTTTTTTGGTAGTTTATTGAAGATAAGAGTCTCATGGACTTTCCTGCCCAGGCTGGCTTTGAACCACAAACCTCAGATCTCAGCCTCCTGTGTAGCTAGGATTAAAGGTGTAAGCCACCAGTGCCTGGCTTTCTTGATTCTTGACCTTACATTCCTATATGTCTTTGAAGATCATTTCTCTTCTTAAGTGATTTACTACCTGTCATTTGTTTTAATTACCTGTACTTTTATTGATAACATTTCTTCCAACTTTCACATACTTCTTAAATTTTATAGTTGCTAGTTTATACATTTCTTATAATCAGAATTCTTACCTCATTTGAATCAACTACAGTTAGTATATCTTGGTACTATTCACATTTTGCTATGATTATGGTAGATGTTGTGTCTAAATTCATGATCTCTTTTCCTCCAATTCTTCCTCCTGTTTTCCCTCCCTCCTTTTCACAGGAATACATACACACATAGTTAAAACTGAAAGACTAAATGACTAATGTTAGTTGTCTGATGTGATATTTAGATAATCCTGCTGTTCATCTTTTTATTCATGCAGAACAGCTCCCCTGCCTCCCAGCAAAAAAAATAAATAATAACAAGAGGATTATAAATGTATTACTAGCTGAGCATAAATATGATAGCTCCCTGAAATGAGCAATGATAAAATCTTAATTGAATAGCACGATTTAGTTCAGTGATACAAGTAAGACCTCCTACTTATATAAACCCTTATATATTTTTTCCTTTTTATATAAATCTTTATTAAATATAACTGCATCTTTAATGTGCACCACATAGCCAAACTTTTCAGTTTTGTAGGCCATTCAGCCTCTCTGCTAAATATTCCTCCATTCTTGGGGACTAAAGCAGCCATAGATTATATGAAAATGTGTCGCTCTATGTCAGTTAAAACCATTTTCATGAACAGGCTATTGGTTTTAGTCTGTTTAATATCAATTTATAATATTGTTTGTAACATTCTAAAGGTGAAATGCACATTTTGTACAACAAGAGCATAAAAACCAGGAGGGAAGAAACAATACATGATTGAAAGTTTCTTATATATGAAGTGTTCTATTACTTAAAGGTAATATGATAAATTAAAAGTGCATACTAAGAACCCTAAAGTAACCAAAAAAATTAAAAGCAAAGAGTTGTATAGCTAATAATATTACAAAGGAAATTAAATTGAATCACAAAATATACCTAATTAATCAAAAAGGACTAAAAAGAAAAAAGCTAACAAATAGAATATATCAAGATGATAGACAATAAGTGTAAATGTTCTGAACCTTACAGACTATATGTTGATTATAAGAGTAAATATGAAAATATACAATGTGGAACAAAGTATAATGATAAAGGGGCCATTTAATTAAGAAGACATAAGAATTCTGCTATGCCAACATGGATGAGCTTTGAAGACATGCGAAGTGAAATAAACAAGAAACAAGACAAATATTGGATGAATCCATTTATCTGAATGACCTAGAATAAGCAAACTGATAGAAACAGAAACTAGTAGCTTGATACTCACTGTTCATACCTGTGCTCAGGAAGCTAAGATCCAGAGGATCTCAGTTTGAAGCCAGCCCAGGGAGAAAAGTCTTTAATATTCTATCTCTGAAGTCACCAGCAAAAAAATTTTTTAAAGAAACTTATTTTTCCAAGAGCTAGAAGAATCTAGTCAAAAAACAAACCTACATATATGACCAATTAATTCTTGACAGAGGTACATTCAGTTAATGCAGCAGAGAACTGAAGCAATTGGACATTAAAAAAGAAAAAGGACACAGATATATCATAAACCTAAATACATATCATAAAACAATAAAAAATTCTAAAGGAAAACATTGGAGAAACATTTTAACTTAGGCAAACATTGTGAATTAGGCAAAGATTTCCAGGTTCCTCTTAGCTTAGTGATTAGTGTAAAGAATATATGATCTTTCAGCTGATTTTGCTCCTCCTTCTGTGAAACAAGAAGCAGTTTTAACATTATAACTTAGATAGGTTTGGGAGCAGGAATGGATTGAGAAATAAGATAGTAATTTAAATGAGGTCCAGAAAAGAAGGGATAGGCCTTGTTACTTCTCTTCTGAGCCAATACCTTTACCAAACTATCCCTAATTTTCACTGTTACCTCCTCTTTTATCTCTTCACCTACAATACCACTACCTAAGTTTCCAAAAGGATACTTCCTCACCTACATTTTTATATAAAGTTGTTTTAAAGAGGCTGTTTTTTACTTGGAGTAGAGTATAATATAGATATCAGTTATCCTAAGATTTTGTTGGTAAAATGAAGGTCTTTTGCTAAGTAGTTGGGTAAAATATACTTGGATATACATCTCCTTCTCATAACAAGTTTTTCTGTCTTGTGTTTCCAGGGTTCTCAGATGTCAGATGTGGCCAGCAGAGAACTACATGCTCAAGCTCAAGAACGACTGCAGCACTACTTTATGGGTAGAGTCGTAGAAGAAAGATCCCAGCAGCACAGAGAGGCTCTTATGGCTCAGATCAGCACCAGTATTGAACAGTTGATGAGTATGTGCTCTTTCTTGTTTTCCTGAAAGGAAAAAAGCCAAACCAGGTGCTAGTGGCTCATGCCTGTAATCCTAGCTACTCAGGAGGCTGAGATCTGAGGATGGTAGTTTGAAGCCAGCCCAAGCAGAAAAGTCCCTGTGAGACTCATATCTTCAGTTAACCACTCAAAAATCCAAAAGTGGCTCAAAAGTGGTAGAGTGCTATCCTTGAGCAAAGAGAGCTTAGAAACAGCACCCAGGCCCTGAGTTCAAGCCCCAAGACCAACAAAATAGGAAAAAAACCCATACAAGTGACAAAATCTTTAGAAGACACATCATTGGTATGTTAACCCTATCCTCAAAGTTTCCACATGTAGATTACCCCCCAGGACATATTTTCACCTGTACCCTTAATACATTCACATGTATCAACTCAAATTTACTAATTTCAAGGATGCTGAGTCCTACTAATCAGATTCTGTTATATACTTACCAAAGGATTTTCTGAGGGAAGATTGTTTGGTTTGAATTTTGGTTTTGATGGTACTAGGAATTGAATTCAGAACCCCACACTTGCTATGCTGCTGCACTACCACATGAGCCAGACTTCTAGCTACTTTTTGCATTGTTTATTTTCAAGGGAGCATTTCATGACTTGAGTTACAGTCCTTCTACTTGTGCTTTTATGCATCACTAAGGATAACAGGTGCATACCACTGTACCCACCCATTGGTTGACATGAAATCTCCCACTGCAATCTGCTAATCTCTACTCCTCCCAAGTAGCTAGGATTACAGTCTTGAGCTATGAGCCCATAGCTAGGTTTTATCATACTTTAGAAATAATTGATGATAAGCCAAGTGTAGTGGCTCACATCTATAATCCTAACTACCTGTGAAGATGAGATTGAAAGATCTCATGGTTCAATGCCAGCCCAGGCAAATAGTTCTTGAGACCCTGTCTCTAAAAAGCTGGTTATAGTGGTGTGCTTGTTAAGTCATTATCCAGGAAATATAAATAGGAGGCTCATTGTCTAGGCCAGCTAAGACCCTAATTCAAAAAATAACAAAAGCAAAAAGGGCTGAGGATGTGGCTCAAGTGAAAAAGTACCTATCTAGCAAGCCCCAGAACTGCCTCCTCCAAAGTATATGATAGTACAATACTATTCACTAATAATTTTATAATTTTATATGTAATCACCTATTAAAAAACCATCTATCACTCACTTGTTTTAAACATAAAAGTTTCCAGGGGTTTCAGGGTATTGCTGCCAGTCGCAACTGCAACTTTTGAAGAGTCACTTACCATCCACTTGGCCATGGTAACAGACAGCAGTGGGAATCTTGTCCCTGTCTGCTGTGGCAAAATTCCTATTCTGTAGTTTCTCAGTTGCTACTTGTTTGGCACAGGATGCCTCCATTCACCCTTTATTTTCTGTTTATTACAGAGGCACCAAATCTGAAGGAGGCAGAAGGGAAAGAACCTGAGCACTTCCTAAGCAGGTCTGGCCCTGTAGCAGCAAAGGCAAAGCAGGCCCATTTCAACACACTGAAGCATATACAAGCACCCTGGTGGAAGAAGCTTGGGGAAGAACTAGAAAATGAGATTGATATTCAACAGGATGAGCTTAGTATAGAATTAGGAGCTTTATTCACTGGTGGGACCAAACCCCCTTAAAACTTAACATGAAAACTGACATAAATCCTGTATTTCAGGACATTATGTTGATACTACCTCTGGCCTGCTGGTAGATGAGGGCTATCCTAACTCATTTTTGCCAAAGGATTCTCCCCAAACAAAAGTTGTAGGCACTAAGAAAGGAGTTATCTACCTCTCTGTTTTCTTGTTTATTCCATACCCATTTCTAGACTCATAAATAGAGGTGTATGGCTTTTACTGTTGGACTAAATTCAGCAGAGAATTCTATTGTGTGAAATGTAAAATTTCTTTCATTTCTGTTTTCCAGCTAAAGGTTTTTTTCTAAATAAATATTTTCAACAGTTCTGAAAAACTTGTCAGGATTATTTCAGCTTTTCACATTTGTTATTAAGAATTACTGATTGTTGTTATTGTTGTTTGTTGGAGATTGATTTTTGTCCTTGGAGGGGAGTACTATTCAATAGGATTTGATACCAGAAAAATTTCTCCAGATAAGACTATCTTCTTAACTGTAAGAACTATATAACCTTTTGCTTCCTTTTTGGTCTCTTTTGGGAATCTCAGAGATAAATACACTTAATGTTAGTTATGATCATAGATATCTATATGATTTGGCTGTAATAATTCCTGGTTTCCTTATTTACCCTTACTTGTATTTAATAGCAGAATTTACCTCAATTTGTTTTTGTAACAATATGGAATTTAAGTTAAAACAAGTAAAAAATATAGCTATCATAAAGAACCTAGAGAGTTCTCTTTGTATAAGTGAGTGGAAATACCAGTATTTCTTGATGGGAATACTCAGTCCTATGCTGCTATCCATTCTCTCAAAGCTAATTTTAGTAAAATTTCATTCAAAACTCTAATTTCATTTATAATGAAAAAGAATAAGCAGGTAAATTTTCTGGTTTTACTTAGAATATAGAAAAATATAAAAATGTTGCCTCAATCTTGAAACAATACCAGAAATACACATTTTTTGAACCTATCAGATAGCTAAGTCCTCTATCTAGCCACATAAACTGAGATGAGAACTCAGTCTGTGCAAAATAAATTATTTCATCTTTATTAGAGTTCAAGAGAAAGAGTGACTAGGTAAGAAGACACCAACTAAAATAGTTTTTTTTTTAAATTTTTAAAGGCCAAATGTGGGTAGCATGACCACACAGAATATCTAAATATATGCTCACAAAGAAAGTTGGGAGCAGGACCTGAAGCAATCCCCCAATCCCCTTTGTGGGCATACCAGGCAAAAGTGATAGTATACTGCAGAGTGCCATTCCCAAAGCCCACTTGCTTCCCTAAGCCTTTCTCTTGAAAACCCTAAACTGCTAAAAAAATTTTCTCACCCCTAAGCCAATTGCAGAATTCCATTGGATATAAGAAAGGAATGGAGACGGAGAGAAACACTACCCCTGGACAAAGTCAGATGCATTGTTGCTCAGAGGGATATAAATTTAAAATATACTTTGTCATTGAATGATTTATGGGAACTTCTGAATATAACTCACTATGATTTAGTTTCTCCCTCTCCTCTTTCTTCACTGCCTCCTATCTTTGCTTTTCTCCATCTTTCTGCCAGCAGGATGTAAACAAAGATGCAGAATTATTATTTTTTTTATTTTTTGTGAACATACTGTACAGAGGGGTTACAATTACATGGGCAAGATAATGAGTACATTTTTTATCAAGCATTGCAGCCTCCTCCTTTGTTTACCCTTCACATCCCTTCCCAGCCCCCCCCCGCCCCCCCCAATTCTCCCCCCCCCCCACCGAAGTTGTAAAGTTCGTTTTCGACATGACAACTTGTACTTCTCATTGTTGCAACGGGTCCACCTGTATCCTTATTTAAACGACGTGTTTTTCCCCATCTCCTCCACAAATTATACCGACATCAAATATAGTGAAAACAGGGGTTATATTATACTGTGGGGGAGGGACATACAAAGCAACAAAGAAATAATCTTATAAATGGGTTAGAAACAAATGCATGAAAGAAAAAAACATTTAAATACATATCTAAGGGTTCATTTTCCTAACATCACATTATCTGACCTTTTCTGCTTGACTCATACATATACTAGATATTGCAAATAAGAGAAACCATGGGACCTATATTTCTTTGGGCTTGGCTTACTTCACTTAATATAATTTTTTCCAAGCCTTTCCATTTCCTAACAAATGGGGAAATGTCATTCTTTCTGATGGAGGCATAGAATTCCATTGTGTATATATACCACATTTTCCTGATACATTCATCTACTGAGGGGCATCTGGGTTGGTTCCATATCTTAGCTATGGTAAATAATACTGCAATAAACATAGTTGTGCTGGTAGCTTTAGTGTGGTCTTGTTTGTGAACATTTGGGTAAATGCCCAAAAGTGGGATTGCTGGGTCATAGGGGAGCTCTATGTGAAGTCTTTTGAGGAACCTCCATACTGCTTTCCAAAGTGGTTGAACAAGTTTACACTCCCACCAACAATGAAGTAAGGTTCCCTTTAGTCCACATCCCCTCCAGCATCTGTTGTTGTTAGAGTTCTTGATTTTTAGATGCAGAATTATTAAATGACATGTTTGGGAAAAAAATCCAGTCTTGCTAATTTCAGTGTGGAGTATCAACAGCAGCCCTAGTATTTCTGCAGGCTTTTACAAAGTCTGTAATCCCAGCATGCAGAAGCAGAAGGATTGTGAATTCCAGGACTGGGCTACCTGACTGCCTCAGAAAAGAAAAAAAAAGTCAAATAACTCACAAAAATGGACTCTTATTTTCAATCAATGCCTTTGAAGAAGGCTTAACTTAGTACTTTAACCTCTCCATCCCTTCTTCTTCTTCCCCCATTTCCCTAGTGTTCACTGTAATTCTAACGAAATTCCTAGTGTGTTCACCCAAGGAAAGAGGGGAGTGCAGGCCCCCCACCAGGCAGGCAATTTTCTAATTTCTTCTTCCATTAGGAAGTATCATTACCATAAAACTGAAAGATCAATTCCACAGTTCAAAATGGAAACAGATAAGTATACAGAAAGGCAAAGTTTGTGTAAGATACTGTTCAATAGGACTCTCTGGTGATATCTTCTGGGAATATGAGTAAGTATGAGATTGGGACTTGAACAAGTTTGAATAAATGTAAGTAGAAGAGCAAGCTAAAGACACACTGGATTTCAAAGGGTCCTGAAGATTTAGTGAGCCTGGAAAGTGCAGTGATCATGACACTGATCCAGTAGGTGACACTGATGTGTCCGGATGTCTCCTGCAGCATTCTACATAACAAAAGTTAATAGTGGAAAAGACCGGTTGTTGACTTGATCCAGGCTAGGGGTTTACTAGGGGTTGAAAACATCATGTGCTAACAAAAATCCTGCAGCTCTGGCATTACACAGCTACTTGAAATCCTGCCTCTTTAAATCCTTCCAATTTCTGCCCCTCACCATCTGACCTTGTGTAAATTACTTAAGCTCCCGAAGTTTATTGTACCACGTGTAAAATAAGGATAGTCCTACACACTTTATTGTATCAACAGACAACAAGCACCCTCCTGTCTTAATATCTGTATGTTTTGGAGATATAGCTGAGATCAAGAGACAAAAATTCCTGTTTCTCTGGGCTTGATAATCTAGTGAAGAGAAAAAATAGGATAAATAGTATGTTAAGATAGTAAAATGCTTAAGGGAAGGAAAGAGCAAAGAAAATTATGAGACATAAAGAAGCCTACAGTTTTAGCTGGGTAGTCAGGAAAGACTTTACTGAACTGGTATTTGAACCTCAAGAGATTACATAATCAATAGGGTAAGGATGCATATTTAATGAGATGACTGAAGACTTAGTATACAGTCAGATTCAATAACTTAAAAATTACTGCTATTAAGAAAATTCCTGAAATGACAGATACTGGGAGTTGGCTGTTTTGCTGTTCTTTCCTTTTCCTTGGAAGCTCAACAGGCATACACGACTTCACGGTCTGGCTGGAATTCATTAACTCACTTCACACAAACGTCCTCCTCTGCTCAAGTCCCTCACACACCCATGTCCTCCGAGACCGCACCAGAACCTCTCACACGGACACCAGGTGCTGTTCATCTTTGGGCAAGACACTTGTCCGGCTCTGGTTTTCCATCGCAAAATGAAACGAGCGTACCGGGTGACCAACTTTTTGGCAACATGCAATGGTCTTACCCGATGACTAACTCTCGGACTCCATCACAACTCTACGAGCGAGAGCTCATGCAGCCCCGCTCCCTTCTCACAGCTCATCCAGCCGTCCCCACGCCTCCAGTGCCCTCGGTCCAAAGTCCCCACAGTCACAGAAAACTCAAGGGGTGCAATTTGGGACAACCGGAACTTTCCCCTTCACACAGCCAACACCTGACCCGTCGCGGAACGCCCACCCTCCCCTCGTTTCCGGTTTTAAACATGCTCTTCCGGGTCACTTGCTCGCGCGTGTGATCCCGCCCTTCGTCTATCTCTTAGAGCCCTTTGGCTGTCTCAGCAAGGAACCGAGTGAGTCGGAGGTTCTGATTGGTTACTGTCATTAGTTACAAACAAGGCGTGCCTGGTCTCCGTGGTAACTCCCGGCCGATACCGTTGATTGGCTGATGTCATAATCCCACCTTCCGTGCAGACCGCGAGGGGTTGAGTCCCTGGCGGGGCGCGGCGCGGTGCGGCGGTGGTAGTTGTAGCGCTTGGGATTCCCGAGCTGACGTGGCTTAGATTGGGAAGGGGGCCGCTGGAGCCTCCGGCGGAAGCCGCTTCCAGGTGAGTGGAGGACGCTCCCCGACTTCCCTTCCGTGAGGGCGATAACGGCCACGCCGCCTCCGGGCCGGCGGGGATCGCCGAAGCCGCCGCACTCGAGCTGCCCTCCCCGCCCCTCCCGGATCCGGTCCGGGTCCGGCTTCTCCCGCCTCCCTTCCCCCTCCAGCCTCGGCCTCCTCACGCTTGTTTACCCCGGCCGGATTGCCTCTCGGTCTCCCAGCTCGGCCTCCGGAGCACGTAGGCGCTGTCTGCCTCTGCCCCGGGGCCGTTTCTTCTCCCTCCGAGCGACGGCAAAAGGTTTCCTGGTCAGTCAGCCCTTCTCGCCCGGCCCTGACTCGTGAGCGGTCGACCTGCTAGAGCCGTCCTTGGTTCACAGACGAGGACGCGGCAGAGAACCTGTGCTCGGGCCCTAAACAAACTTAGTGTCCCAAAGGGTTGGTGGGACCCAAACAAATCGAAGGTCCCGAGAGCGGAGATGGAAAGCACACTGGAGATGTTAATTGATGCGGAGGCCTGGCGATTGATCCTAGTAAATGTTAAGTTACTGGAAAAGGAGGAACGTCTCCTTGTCCTCCCCCCAACACACACACACACACACACACCACCACGCAAAAAAATCCCAGGAATCAGAGGTGGACATGCAGTTAGGGACTCTTAAATTGATTTCGGGAGGAAAAAGAACTTGCTCTGGTCGTGTGGCGTATCTTTACTGTGCATAACGTCCTTGTGAGCAAGCGGGTAAGGCCCCTGACCAATAAGGACTACATTTGTAGGACTTATTTAAAGAGCTCCAGTTGTTCTGTGGGGTCAGGACAATTTTAAGAATCCGAGCGAGGTTATTTAAAATGATGGATAAGTCCTTGGACAAAATTTTGGAATAGTTGGAAGCTCTCCAGGCATGTAAGGGACCTGTTTCTAGTTGAGTAGACGATGGCATTAACGAGTGAGTGCTTTGCAGAAGCATGAG